CTTTGTTGTAGTGCACCGGCTTCTCATTGTGGTGGCTTGTTTGTTATGGAGCACGGGCTCTAGGCTCGCGGGCTTCAGTAGTTGCAGCACGTGGGCTCAGTAGTTGTGGCTCGTGGGCTCTAGAGCACAGGCTCAGTCGTTGTGGCTCACGGGCTTAGTTGCTCAACGGCATGTGGGATCTTCCTGGACCAGGGCTCGAACCAGTGTCCCCTGCATTGGCAGGCAGATTCTTAACCACTGCACCACCAGGGAAGTCCCAAGGCATTTTTAACTGAAGTTAGAAATGTGCCTTCTCCATGACCCAGCAATTCGACCCCAGAGCCAGGAAACACATACTAGGATATTCACGACAGCATTGCCCCTAACAGCTTCAGCCTGGAAGTGACCAAGGTGCCCATCCGCTGTAAGGTGTATAAACAAATTTAGGCAGTCACAGAATGGGATACTAAGTAGCAATAAAAAAGAGTTAACGACAAGTAAACACGACAACACAAATGGACCTCAAAAGCATAATTTTGGGTGAAGTTGCCAGACACAACAAGTCACCCAGAGTGCAAGTCCCAGGACAACCAGACAGCTGCGTGGCCTGGGACAGTCCTGTCTACACCTAGTGTCCCAGGGTTATTAGGGTCATTGTTAATACTGACTCCTATCACTTCCAAAATTCCCTGGTTTAGATGATAAATTATATACTCACACCAGTGGTTCTACTCTTAGAAAGTTTACAAACAAGCTAAACTAATCAATACTACTTATGGATGTACACACATATTAAAAGGTACTAACGCCATATTAAAAAAACCAAGCAGGGAGACGAGCATTATAAAAGTCGGGATGCTGGTTCCCTCTGCGGGGATGGAGAGGGCAACTAACCAGAGGAGCATCTGGGGGCTGGTAATGTTCTCCTTGTTGACCTGGGTGCTGGTTATATACTTTATAATTATTTGCTAAACTGTACATGTATATTTTATGTACTTTTCTGTATGAGTGTGATATTTCACCATTTAACAATTATTAGTGCTATCAGTGAACACCACAATTATTTAAGTCAAAGAAGGAAACAGTCACACTGCATCTTAGTGCAAATAATAGTTCATATTTGTCGATGCTTTCTTTGTGTAAGGCATCCTGAGAAATTCTTTACGTGCATCATCTCATTCCCTGGAGGCAGCACTGACATTTCTGGGGCATCACAGGGCTAGCCGGCGACATTGGTTTTGGGAACTGCTGGTGACAGCCTGCAGAGGAGGTGGCACTGGGGAGAGGTGAAATGTTGCCAGTTCCACATTCAGTCAGCCCCGGGTTAGCACCAGCCCTAATTCAAACTTCCTCGTGAATTTGGACATATGGCTTTCCCTCTCTAAGCGTAGATTACCCCTCTGGAAAACGTGAAATGTGCAGGTCCACATCTCCTGTCCCAAATCCCTAAATCCAAAAGCTCTGCAAACCAAGTCTTTCACAGACCCATTTGGTGGCAGAGCTGCCTGGAACTGATGGAAGATTTTATTTATGGTATGAACTTGAATTTCACTGAAGAAATATCAGTGTGTTTGATTACTCTCCAGCCCCACTAGGAATCTTAACTAATGTACAGGATGGTTCCTATGGCTTAGCCTCATATTCACTTCCCAAATGCATTGAGCCTCAAAAGTTTTGGCTAAGACACTGTGGACTTGTAGTAACTCTCACTTCTCATGGTGATGGGGAAATTCAGTGAGATCAAGCCCTGGCCCTCGACAAGTGTTAGCTGCCATTGTGAACGCTGTGACTACGATTAGCACTTAAGTCCATCTATGGGACTGGAGTCTGTGGCTGCACCTCCTTATGTCAGAATCACGCAGCCATTAAAATCATGACTGGAGGAATGTGGGCTAAGGGGATCCTTAGGGAGTAACAAAACACAGCAGGACATGAAACTGCACCAATGGCAAGGTCAGAGCCATTCAGTGAATTTAAAAACGGCAAAAGAAAATGCCAGGTTTGGGACTTCCCTGGTGGCGCAGTGGTTAAGAATCCACCTGCCAACACAGGGGACACGGGTTCGAGCCCTGGTCTGGGAAGATCGCACATGCCGCAGAGCAAATAAGCCCGTGCGCCACAGTTACTGAGCCTGAGCTCTAGAGCCCGCGAGCTACAACTACCGAAGCCCACGTGCCTAGAGCCCGTGCTCTGAAACAAGAGAAGCCACTGCAATAAGAAGCCCACACACTGCAATGAAGAGTAGCGCCCACTCGCCACAACTAGAGAAAGCCCGTGTGCAGCAGTGAAGACCCAACGCAGCCAAAAATAAATTAATTAAATTTAAAAAAAAACAGAAAATGGCAAGTTCAAAATCTATCTCCAGGAAAAAAAAAGGAGTGGAAGGAAGGGCCCAAGAGCAGTGATGATGTCATGAGTAGTTATTCCCAGGTGAGCAGACCATGGTAGTTAAGAAAAATCCTTCACAAAATCCTAACAGCTAATGTTAACTGCACCCTAACTGCTCTAGGCATGTGGAAAGTGCTTTACAAGATCTCACAGAAGGCTCAACAACAACCCCATGAGGCAGGCGCTATTTTTCAGCTGGGGAAACTGAGGCTTGGAGGAGGGAAGCAACCGACCCAAGGTCACCTGACAAGCAAGCAGGTCAGGGATTTGAACCTCGGTGTGGAGGACTCCAGGGTTTGTGCCACTGTGCACGTCTTCATCTCTGAGTTTCTATACTGTCTTACTTTATTTATGTCAAATTTTACCATAAAAATGTCACCGTACAGAAAAGCTGAAAAAAATAGTTAAAACAAATATCTCAATGTGTTCCATATTTTGCCATATTGGCTTTCTCTCCCTCCCTCTCTTTCGATGAACTGTTTTTTTGTTTCTTGTTTTTGATGGTCTTGAACCACGTGGCATTTTATTTGAATTGCATTTTACATTTCCTGTCTTGGTATATTATGACTCCAGAGGACTAGCTACTGTTGCCAAGGCAAGATGACTTTGGGTAACTTCAGGGATCCACAGGGGTTTTTGTTTGTTTTTTAAATTATTTTTTATTGGAGTATAGTTGATTTACAATGTCTCTTGATGAACTATTAAACACGCATCTTCTAAGAAAGAATAAGGACCCTCTATAAGTCTACACTAACACTTAACCCACTAAGAGAAATCCATTCTACCATCTAATCTTCACTCCATGAACACTTTTTCCCATTGTCTCAAGGTCTTCTGGAGCTGTATCTTCCTAACAAAGATGGGGCTCACACACTGCTGGGGGTGCTCATGTCTCTCTAATCTCTTTTAATCTAAAACACTGCCCCTGCCTTTTCCATTTTTCTTAAAGAGATTATATTTCTTTTATCATAGGAAAAAACTAAGGCAGATTTTTCTATTTGATTTGTGAACCATATGTATAACTTGACTGGATTGAAGAATTAGCATTTAAATAAATATAAATACTTTATTAAAAATATTTTAGGGACTCCCCTGGTGGCACAGTGGTTAAGACTCCACGCTCCCAATTCAGGGGGCCGGGTTCAATCCCTGGTCAGGGAACTAGATCCCACATGCCTCAACTAAGAGTTCGCATGCCACAACTTTGCATTTAGCATTAAACCTGAAACTAATGCTACATTACGTACTATGATTCCATTCCAGCTCACTTTATTTAAAATAGCAATAACCACAAAATAAAAACAACGTATTGTGGATTCGAGTATAATTACTAAGATCCTGTGCAGGCCTACTCATGGGAAAAATGACCCTGGTATGTATGCCCTGAACCTTTTATGCAATATATGAAAAGGCAGGTATAATTCTGTCAACTGTTGGAGACCTTTGCTTACTAGATATCTTCCTAAAGAAACAACAACAACAACAAAAATATATATATATATATATAACAAATATATATATATATAGTTATATATAGATATATTTAATGGAACAAGAAAACAAAAGTTTACAAAAATTATTTCATGTTACAAAAGTGCCAATAGAGAAACTAAAAGGAATGTCATGATTATATAGGAAGGAGGGAAACCGTGGAGATGATGAAAGCTGTCTCCATCTATTTTTGGCAAAGGATTAACAGACATTGTCTCAAAGTTGATAAACTAAGAAATAATAATGGAAGAATTTGCTTTAAAAATTTTGAAGTAACTACCAGAGTAATAAAAATCAGAGAAAGGTTTAAAACCATGCACCACGGATCACAAGTTACTTTTGCCATTTCTGAAAAGTAATTTAATTACAAAGTTTTAAAACTGGCTGCGGGGGAGGGTGCGCTGTTTAAACGATTGATATTTCATGCAAAGCTTTGTCCTGTTTGTCTTTTGTTCTTGTGTTACTGGGACATTTAAAAAATTGTTATTATTTATTTTAAAAGTATGTTGGTAATACTGTAAATTTGAATATTGGTAATATTCAAAATAAGGGGTAAACAGCTGCTGTCTAAAGTTGAAGGATCAAGATACGGAGTGTTAACAAATATTACTGAACACTGCAAAGGTTAACTTCGAACAAAATTTAAATTGGGTGGAGCGGCCGCAGCTAAAAACATACTGTGCCCAAGTTGCTAAATCGAGAAACGGCGCTCTAAGATCTTCCGATTCACAGATTTTTCTGCCAGTCAGAGAAAACAAAAACCAGAACTGGTAAAAAGTGGTCTGGCCTTTCACAAGCTGCTGCGAACACGTGTTGGTCGGGTACGTTTCGGAGGGGGATTTATTTAACGGTGGCCTCCGCGGGCCAGCAGCCGAGCGGAGAGGCGAGGGCTTTAGAGGGCTGCTTTTAGCAAAGCCCTTTCCGAATGATCTGGGGCTTTCAAACGTGCGACTGTGTAACTCTGGACTTAAAGGGGCAGAAGCTGGCTGGGGCAGGCCGGGAAGGGGCACTAGGGCGCAGGACTCTCGGGACACGCCCCTCCGGGCAGGGCCTGGGGCGGAAATCCTTCCCGGGGCGCCTCAGCCGCGAGTGGGGACGGGACACCGGTCCCGACCTGGGGCCCTACCTGTCCCGACGCTCACCTGGCGGCCTGCTCGGAGGCGGCGGCGGGCTAGGATCCCCTTCCCCGACCCTGCTCTGAGAGGCAGTCGTGGGGCTCCCCGGGAACGGCCCCGCCCAGGGAGCCCCGGGACCCGCGCTCTGGGCAGTCGGTCCTCTCCGGGGCGGACGGCTGTGAGATCCCGCGGGCGGGCGGCTGCGCGAAGCCCGAGCGAGGGAGGGGCGGGGTCTGGGAGGCTGTAGGCGCTGGGAGGAGGGCCCAGCTGCCGCAAGGCTGGCGGGGAGGGGAACCAGCCCCCGCCCTCGTGCATCTCGGGGCCCGCTCCTCTGAGAGTCTACATTTTCTCCACGTGGTTACGTGCTGCCCAGGCGCCCCGCGATCTGAGACCCGGGTCCCCCGGCGCTTAGCGCAGGCACCTCCTGTGGGCGAGTCCCACCTCCCGGGGAGCCTCCTGCCGTGGGAATGGTCCCAGCTGCCCCCACAGCCCCAAATCCTGTCTTTCCTTCCTTTTCCCTCCACCTGCCTACAACCGCCTCGCCATTCACAACATCTCTCCCACCATCTGTCAACTTCTAGTAAATGGCCGAGCTGTGACTTCGACCCTGGGCTTGGTGTGAAACACTTGGATAGAAGCTTCTATCCACAGGGATTCTCTCGAATTTACATTGTGTCCCCAGGCTGGTAGTGTCTCAGAAGCCCAGGCTTGTTCTTAAGTTGAGCCTCTCTGCCATACATACTTCTCTGGGGCGACAACCTGGGCGCTCCTACATTAGAAACCTGCCCCCTCCCCTAAACTGCAGACAAGGTAATTAATCCGAGGTTCACAGTAAGGATGGGGCCAAGACCCATTTCTCTCTTGACCTCTGCCCTTGGCCCTGCACCGTTTCTTTGGATTGCCCTATACTGCGCAAGGAACCTCAAGGACTGACCTTAGCCTCCCCAGAGCCAGTCTTCTGAGCTCCAGGCCTCCCACAACCTAGGAAATCGTCACCAGTCCCAGTTACCCCAGCGCTCACTCATCGCAGGCACTGAAACTGATAGAACACGTCTCTGTACTTAGTAGAGCGTAGGTTCCTCTGTCTCCCGGCAGAGAGACTTCAGGGAGAGGCAGAGTGACAGGTAAGAAAAGAGTTTACAGTGTTAGTGTAGGATGCTTGTGAGGCCTACAAGCCGGTGGGCAAGGGAGTGCCACGCCTGGAGAACTTAGTGGGCTACAGTTTTATAATCAAAGGAAAAGTGGAGAGGAGGAGATGACCGCCTTCTTCCTCATTCTTGAGTAGATGGTGAGCTTCCATCATCAGCTCCTCCTCCACGTCAGGTGGGGGAGTTTTCTTGTCCCTCCATGGTCAAGCCGGGACTGTCACGGCGCAATGGAAATGAGCAAAAAGGTGGTAACGTATGCTAAAAACATGGTGAATCATCTCAGCGTTCAGTATAATGCCACCCTTTCCTTATATTTTTGTTTTCAGTGTGCCCAGAGGAGCATGTCCTAGGAATCATTAACCTACTGAGCTCACTGGGCAAGACATGGGTCTCATGCCACCATCGTTTTATTGTTTTGGGGCATGTCTCATGCTTCTGTTGCATGCTTTTGTTGCTAAGCGAGGCTGCTTGGTTTTGTAGTTAAGCAAACATGCTTTCTTGAGTGATCATTAACTTACAGGGGTCTCCCATACTTTCTTCTCTACTTAAAATCCCCTAGTGGGATTAACTAATCACCTACCTTGTCCCTTTACTCTGTCCCTATCAACTATGCTAAATGCTTTATATGCATTATTCCATGGACACCTCTCCTGAGAAACTGAGGCCCAGAGATATGTAGGCTTTGCACGAGGTGCAAGTCACTGGCTTGGTGGTCACACAGGAAAGGGTTTAAGCTTCGTTTGCCCAGGTCCCCTCCGCCGGAAGCCTCAGAAAGGCACCACAACACCATCGTGAGGACGGCGTGAGGTCCGTGCCTGCAGCGCGCAGTAAACGTCAGCTCTCGTTATTTGTACCACCTGCCTTTCGAAGCATTTTCTGCGGCGGGTTGTAAAATTGTTGTATTATTGGTAGCGTTTATAGTATCGATCCACACACCATCCCTTATCTGAAAGGCCTAGGACTAGATGGTTTGGATTCCGGATTGTTTATTTTTTATTTTTCAAATTTAGAAGGCAGTAGAATGCATATAACATATATACAGCATTCTGCAGTATTCCCAGCAGGATCAGGGCAGCATTCCATGATCATGTGATATTTCTGCGTTAAATCGTGTGTAGAAAGAACAACTTAGTGGAATAGTTATGAATGCCTGATGTCAGTTCAGTCAGGTCTTATTGCTTGAAGAGACTGGGGCCTAATTTATTAAGAAAGTTTGTGGGTAAGAAACTATAACAATGTTTTTAAGTTGTTATTTATCTATTTATTTATTGAGCCTCACTGCACAGCTTGTGGGGTCTTAGTTCCCCAACCAGGGATGGAACCCAGGCCCGGTAGAGTGGAAGTGAAGAGTCCGAACCACTGGACCTCCAGGGAATTCCCAATACTTTTTAAAAAATAACTTTATTTTTTTATTTTTGGCTGCGTTGGGTCTTCGTTGCTGCACGCCGGCTTTCCCTAGTTGCGGTGAGCGGGGGCTACTCTTCGTTGCCGTCCGCAGGCTTCTCATTATGGTGGCTTCTCTTGCTGCAGAGTCCGGGCTCTAGAGTGCAGGGTCAGTAGTTGCGGCACACGGGCTTAGTTGCTCCGCAGCATGTGGGATCTTCCCGGACCACGGCTAGAACCCATGTCCCCAGCACTAGCAGGAGGATTCTCAACCACTGCGCCACCGGGGAAATCCCCTAGTTTGTTTTTTTTCTCTCTTTTTTTTAAATTGATAGCATTATTAAGCACCTGCTGTGAACCAGACGCAGGCTACATAGATTATGTAGGTTTACAGGCACTAAACGATTTATTTCAACACATAATACTGGTTTATTACAGATAAATGAGAAAAAACTCAGGGTATTCCCAATAAAATAATTGGATTATCAAAGGATGTTAAAACCATTGGTAAAATGTTGTTGGAGAACAGTCCAGAATTATTACCCAGTAGATGACTTATTCATTAGGGGAAAAAATGTACCTACCTAGTGAGGGGTGGTGGGTTTTGGCAGACACCCTCTTAACCAAGTGATCAAATAATATCCTCGATAGTGGGACAGCATGACATCAAGGGTCTCTTGATGTGACACCACCATAGGAAGTATACAAAATTGTCTAAGCAGAATTCTTGTTAAAAAAAAAAATTGAAACCTACGTTTAATAATGAGAAAGCATTCAGTATTGAACATGCGGGATATACATAAGATAACTGGCCAGGACTTTTCAAAAAAGTCAATATGAAAAACCAAAGGACTTCCCTGGTGGTGCAGTGGTTAAGAATCCGCCTGCCAATGCAGGGGACACTGGTTCGAGCCCTGGTCCGGGAAGATCCCACATGCCACGGAACAAATAAGCCCGTGCGCCACAACTACTGAGCCCACACGCCACAACTACTGAGCCTGCGTGCTACAACTGCTGAAGCCCATGCGCCTAGACCCTGTACTCCGCAACAAGAGAAGCCACTGCAGTGAGATGCCCATGCACCGCAACAAAGAGTAGCCCCCGCTACTAGAGAAAGCCCACGCACAGCAACAAAGACCCAACGCAGCCAAAAATAAACAAATAACTAAGTAAATTTATTAAAAAAAAACAGAAAAAACAAAAAGGAGACCAAAGAGACATAACAATCAGATACAGTTCATGCACCTTGATTGGGTCTTTTTTAATTTTAATTTTTTTTTTTTTTTTTGCAGTATGCGGGCCTCTCACCACTGTGGCCTCTCCCGTCGCGGAGCACAGGCTCGGGACGCGCAGGCTCAGCGGCCATGGCTCACAGGCCCAGCCGCTCCGCGGCATGTGGGGTCTTTCCGGACCGGACTCTCAACCACTGCGCCACCAGGGAAGCCCAGGTCTTTTTTTTAAATAAATTTATTTATTTATGGCTGTGTTGGGTCTTTGTTGCTGCTCACAGACTTTCTCTAGTTGCAGAGAGCAGGGGCTGCTCATTGCAGTGGCTTCTCTTGTTGCAGAGAACGGGCTCTACGTGTGCAGGCTTCAGCAGTTGTGACTCCCGGGCTCTAGAGAGCGGGCTCAGTAGCTGTGGGTGGCGGGCTTAGTTGCTCCACAGCATGTGGGATCTTCCCAGACCAGGGCTCGAACCTGTGTCCTCTGAATTGGCAGGCAGATTCTTAACCACTGCACCAGCAGGGAAGTCCCCTTGATTGGGTCTTGAATTGGTGATTTCCTTTGGGTTCTGTCTTGCCCGGGGCTAGTTTTCTTTTCCTGTCTGATGATCTAGCTTGTTCCTTGCCATTCTCAACTGAGGAGCAAGGCTGGTGTCTGGTAGATGATGGGACTGTGCTTCCTGTTATAAATGTTGGACTGTTTTCCCGCCAGGTCTCAGGGTGAATGGGAGCTTTGTGCCTGGGTGTGGGGCTTGCTGCTGGGCCGGTGAGAGACCAGAAGCCCCACTTCCGGCTGTCCCTCCCCTCCTCCACAAGTGCCAAAATAGGACTGGCTTTTTCCAGAAGCTGACACCTAGCCTAGTTGCCACCTCAGGCTGGCAGAGAGCTGGATCTCTTTAGGGAAGCGCCCTTCGATTCTTGTTTTCTTGCCCATGAATGCTGGGTGGCCAGTGCCCTGGAGAAGGGGGGAGGGGAGGGTGCAGGAAGCGAGGAAAAGCTATCATCTGAGCCTGCCTTTTCTCAGTCCTGCCTGTCTCCTACAGCCCGGGTCATGCTGGGCTCCCTCTTCCCTGCAGTCCTGTCCTGAGTGCGATGACCTCTTCACTCTGATTCATATCCCCAAGCCCCTAGCAGGTTTGTCTACCAGAAAAGTGTGGGAATCTCTTACATGTGGGTGGTCTCTGCAGTAGGCTGAATAAAGACCCCCGGAACATATCTATGCCCTAATCCTTGGGACCTGTGAATATTGCCGAATGTGGCACAAAATATTTTACAGACTTCTAACCTCCAGAACCGTAAAAGAATAACTTTTGTTGTATTAGGCCATTGAGTTTATGGTCATTCGTTACAGCAGCAACAGGAAATGAATCCAGTCTCCTCCCCCATCCCTTTGCACTGTCAGCTGATTTCCTTTTTTA